GCCCTATCGAGCCTCCCGCCTGGGTCAACGCGTCTCGTCGATGTGGAATTGGCCAAGGTGGCGCAATCAACATCTGACTCATCTCCGCAAACCACGGAGCCCCCGGGCAATCGGGCGCTATCAGTATCACTGACAGCTCCTCTGACCTCACCCTGGCTAGCAGTGGGAGAATGCAAGACAGCGGAGGGAATGCATACAGAAGAGCTTTCGGCCACGGGTAGTGCGCGAATGCGTCTCTTCCCAGTGGTGGTTCGTCCTGTTCCCTCAGGGAAAACCATAGGAGACACTGCGCGTTCACACGTGACGCGAACAGGTCCACCTCGGCTCTCCCGAATTGTTCCCAAATTCGTAGAACAATGTCCGGGTGCAGACACCACTCGTCGTCTCGAGGACCCCCTCTTGACATGAGGTCTGCCCCTACGTTCAAGTAGCCCGGAATGTGCGCTGCTCTCAACGAGCGAAGGTGCTTGTGAGCCCACAGCCACAATTCCACTGCCGCCCGATGGAGAGCAGGAGACCTGACTCCTCCCTGGCGGTTTATGTGAGCCACTGTGGTCCGGTCGTCTGACCAGACCAACACATCGCGACCCCGAAGGGTAGACGCGAAGTGGGTCAAAACCAGTCGAACCGTTTCCAACTCTAGGAGGTTGATGTCCCTCCCCATCCAGTCAGAGAGGCATCTGTAAACACTGGAATGTGGGATGACACCTTGCCCATCGGGACTCCGTGCGTGAGAACGCTCGGGTTCCTCCAATAGTCCAGGTCTGCTCTTAGCGAGAGAGGAACCACCACCAACCGATGACGTTGACGCACTGGGTCTAGTCTTAGTTGGGCGAACCACCGCTGTGTTCTGCGCATGTGCAGAAGCCCCAGCGGGACCACAGAGTGGGCTGCCGACATGAGACCCAAAAGTGACATGATCGATAGCGCCGTTACTGTGTGATTCGGACGACACCTCCTAAGCGCTAGTAACAATGCTGCCCTTCGAGGGTCCGAAATTCGAGCCCTCATCATTACAGTGTCTAGCTGTAGTCCCAGGTAGACAATCTGATGACTGGGCCAGGGTGCGCTCTTTTTCCAATTCACAGCGAACCCCAGACGCGTGAGATGAATCACTGTCTGTGTCGTGTGAGTGAACGCCAGCTCTGCTGACGGGGCGAGAACCAGCAGGTCGTCTAGGTAGGCTAATATCCTTATCCCCTGACGACGCAGCGGTTCCAATGCCGCCTCCACACATTTGGAAAAAGTTCGAGGTGCCAGGGCGTACCCAAACGGCATCCTCGTGAACTCGTACGCCACCCCTTGAAAGGCGAACCGCAGAAACTTTCTGTGGCATGATTGTATCGGCACATGAAAGTACGCGTCCTTTAGGTCTATGCTTGTACAAAAGTCTCCCTTCTGGACACATTCCAGTAGACGTTTTGTCGTCAGCATTCGGAAGGGCCGTTTGGTTATGCTCTCGTTGAGAATGCGTAAATCCAAAATCGGCCTCACTCCCCCCGTCTTTTTGGGCACTAGGAAATAGGGCGAATACAGCCCTTTGTTCCTTTGCTCTCGGGGAACTACTGTGACCGCCTCCTTCGCCAAAAGTTCCGTAATCTCTGACATCAGAGCGGCTACTTTGTCTGGCGTTTTCATCACCGTTTCCACCACTCCCCTGAACGGGGGTGGGGTCCGATGGAATTGGAGGGCATAACCCTTCTGCAACGTCTGATCTAGCCAGCGTGAGAGGGTACAGCTTCGTTGCCACTGCCAGCGATGCAGAGAAAGCGGGCGCGCACGAAGCTGTGGTGCATCCAGTAGGAAGGACATGTATTCCTCTATGGCCCTCGCCGCCGCTATTCCCCAGCACTGAGTTGGTGGAATAGCCCAAGGCGGGCCCCCCTCGAAAGGGAGAGGAAACATCAGCTCGTTCTGGGTGAATCGGGGGCCTTGATACGTTAGTTACGACCGTAACTCCAGTAATCCGGCCCTCCGTGAACGCAGCACGGTTCTGAACTGCACTGGCTGAGGCATTGGCCTGAGACAGAACGCTCTCCCCGGATAGCAATTGCGTCATCACGTCATTGTCTGACTGAGACTGCTGCTTGCCATGAGACCCATCCATTGCAGTACTCAACAGAGTCTGAAAGATGTGATCACTGACTGGTACCACACGGTGGTGCCACAATACCTCCTCACTGGTCTCATGCGACTGCTCAACGGCACACTCAATGTGTGGTGAGCTGCGCTCAGAGCCATGGGCATTGTTACGTTCTGAATAGACCGGAGGCGTCCATACCTTGGTTATACTTGTAACTCTGGTATTCCCGCTCTCCGTGAATGTCGCACGGGTCTGATCTGCGCTGGCTGAGGCATTAGCCTGCAGCAAGGCGTCATTGCCGGCTAGCGGCTGCGTCTTCATGTCACATTGGGAAAGAGACAGCTGCCTGCTGTGTGAGACCTTTACTACAGAGCTCCTAGGAGTCTGTAGTAAAAGATCTTTATTAAGTGAGCTAAGGCTGCGCCTTGCTACCTTTTCCCTTTTCCTCTCCTGAGCGCGCTCAACTACGCACTCTTGGTGGGTTGAGCTACACTCAGGATGGTGAGGGAAAACCATAGAACGTGAAGTGTTCTGTACCTTATGGAATAAATGTCCTTCTTTGACAATGTCAGTGAGAACCAGCTCTTTATTCACATAATCAGAAAACACACCCTCCACGCCCTGAACAGTGGGGTGGGGGGGAACAGTAGGCTCAATTGCGTCTTGCGCCGAGCCGTCTTCCGTCCTCTCCCCCTCGCCTCGTCATTGGTGCCGCCTCTTTTGGGAGACCTTCTGGTGCTGCCAGGCCGGCTTGACGACGACCTCCCTCGCCGGCGGGACCGTCGCTGCCACTGTCGCTGCTGGAGGGGCCGAGCCCGCTCTCTTGCTGCCTGTGGTGGACGCCTGTCGCCTGGCCCGTCGCCTCCCCGTAGCTCTACTGGGGGCGTTGGAGGTGGACGGAGTAGCTGGGGCTCTGCTGGCCTTCATTGCCAATGGCAGATGTTTGGCCAGGTGCTTCCTCTCCTCATCCAATTTAGCGATACGCTCTGTTGCGTCTTTCACAGCGACCCCAAATAGGCCCTCGCTGGAGACGGGAGCGTTGAGCAAGGAGGCTCTGTCGGTCTCCTTCATGGCCGTCATGGACAGCCACAGGTGACGCTCTGTGACCACCGAGGTGGCCATGGTCCTTCCTGCGCAGATTGCCACAGCCTGCGTCAGATGGAGGATGGCTCCGGAAATCCTGGATGCCTCCTCGATTTCCTCGCTGGTCAACTCCGACCTACCCGTTGTGAGACGGGAAAGGGAGGCCGCGAGGAGGGCGATGTTATTCGCCGCTGACACGCCCTGGGCTCCCAGCGTGAAGGACTTCTCAGCCAGCTGTGCTGTGAGCCTGTCCCTTTGTGCTGGCAAGGTGGCCTTCTTGGAGGCTGCCCAGGGACTCGAACCTGGCACTAAGTACGCCGCCATGGCGCCTTCGAGCCTAGGGATTCCCTTAGCCGCCCACTCATTACCGGCCACTCTGGTGAATGGGATATACGCTCTGGCCGGCGAACGCGCCGCCAGAGGTGAGCCCCACGAGCCCTCGACATATTTTCCAAGGGAAGGCATGGCTGGAGCCATTGGCTCAGCCGCCCTCCTTGGCTTGGAGTAGGGGCCGCCTTCCATCAGGTCCACTTCCACAGGGAGGGGAGCTGGGGGCAGCGCTATCTCCAGTCGATTAGCCGCCTTCTCAATGAGTTCGGGAAAGTCCGAACGCAGAGAGGCTGCCGCGAAGGACAGGGCTTCTGATCTCACAGAGCCCATGTCGTCATCGTATAAGGAGCCTTCAGACCTCGCGCACTCCAACGGAAAGGGGGTCTTGAAAGCTGGCGCCAGAGCTCCGGATTGTCCCGCTGGGATATCCATCTCTGCGCCTTCCTTGCCGTCCTCTGAGCCAGCACTGTCCGACGACGCCTCTGAAGCAGAGGCGAGAGTGGACAATACATCCTCTAGAGGAACGTGCTCTTTAAAGAACGCCCAACGCTGCTTCCTCTCCTTCATAGGAAGGAGGGCGCAGGAGGCGCAGTTAGGAGGGTTGTCGAGACCGTCCTTAGCATGCTGCGGTCCCAAGCACACGAAACAAAGGTCGTGGGGGTCCGTAGCTGCCATGTCAGTGCATCGACATAGAGCCCTAAAAAGGGCTTTTGGGGGTGGGAAATTCCCTGGTGCGCTCATGCTGGAAGACGTTGATGGCTGGATATCAACGACGAGATCTTCCTGAGTCTTCTATGGCTTCTTCAATTCTAGTCCAGTCGCTGAAGATAATGGGAGGCAGATTGAGGGAACGGGTCCCTGTATATAGGGGCACCTGTGCTCCCATTGGCTGCAGGTGTGTGCATAATTTTTGCTTCAGGCTGTTTCTGCCGTAGGGCAGAGGGTAAACCACTAGGAGCATAGCTCCCCTATGGGGCGGAGCTCCACGATATAGAACTGAATCAAACAGTTTTGTTTTAGGCTTTTACCCTGCTGATATTTTAAAGACACACCCGGGAACATTTTGTATTTGTTGAACGAACCTTTTGTTGAAACTAGACAAACATTTTGGGATCACCAGCTTCTTTGGGCAGTGGTGCGTTGAGGCGACACAACAATGGGATTATCTTTGACCATTGACTGAGAATTGTTTTTAAAAGTTAATTTATCTCAGAGAATATAGTGGTGAGTTTTTGGACAGAGCGCATATTTGCGCGAAATTTGGATGACTCGACAATCTACCTGCCTAAATTTGTGGAGAAGACCATTGTGAGGACTCGCCGGGCAATCGCATGTGTCCAGTCTAGTTGGTCTGGTCTAGAACGGCTTCATCACTGGAACACGACCACACAAAGCCTGCTAGAAAAACGATGGCGAATGACTCGATGCAAGTAAGTGTCCCCTGTAGCTCAGTTGGTAGAGCATGGCGCTTGCATCGTCGCTCTGGAGTCGCTCTGGATAAGCGCTTAGTAGTCGGACGTGTTTGTCTCGAGTTCTGCTACTCAATTTAGCCGTTTGCCTACAACGACACCACGGCAGCATGCGAACGCTACTGGACAGCAGCTGGATAAAGTTTGGGCCAGCCGGCAGAGGGTCCATCGATTGGGTGACTGGGTCACCTTCTCCCCCCACGGTAGAGAGACAGTTACAGGTAAGGGATCATCAGCTTGTTGTTACTGAGTGAGTCTGATTCAGCAGTAGTCTTTACATGTAGACTACTGTGAGACCCAGAGATGTAACTTTTTGGTAGGCCCAGGAGGTAGGCAACCTGAGTCCTGGAGAGCTGCAGCAGTTTTTGAGTTGACTTTTTTGCTTTACACCTGGGAGGGGGTAGGTGGCATACTGGCTTAACAATCTAAAGAACAGACCGAAAATTATTCTGAACACTACTTTTTTAAGTGTATTATTTTTTATTTTATATTATCTTTTATTTTTCCTCACTGGAGGAGCGCTGTCCAAGGCACTTCGGCCAGCCTGTGGCTACACAGACTTCTGCAGGCTACACACTCTTGTTGTTGTTAGTTGAGTGCCTTAGCCTCTTGGAATAGTATTGGATATCACCACTATGATGAGAGCTTGTGAGTGCAGTTCATGTCAGGGAAATGGCAAAGGAAAGCTTTTCGGGACTTTCAGCAGAGCGGAGTGATGTTGACGGGTCTTTAGTCAGTCATCCAGATGAGGATCAGCATTATCTGAACACTGAAACCGATTGGTCGGGTGAATTTGGGACACTGATTGTGTCAACAGGGGAATAGAACACTCAGGCAATATCAAATGGCATAAGCTCTATTGAGCCTCTGTAGGATATCTTGATTTCACAACCATGTATGTTCAGTTTTGAGAAGATGGAAGAGGATCAACACTGATCCAGTGGAACATTGCCGTTTTGAGGCAAAACCCATTACTGATTTTCAGATTTCATATCTTTAACATAGTCCTGAATGTATTTTATGGGAATCTTTTTTCTTTCCTTTGAATGATGTGGTTTATTAACCCTTTCCCCTCCAAAACCACCAGGGCTACAACTGGAATGAGCTGAACCTCAACCAGGAGGGGAGGTCAGAGCTGCTCCTCTATGTGGTCCTCCCCGTCGCCTCCCTCCTCATTCTGGGCCTCCTGGTACTCCTGGCCTACTGGAGGTGCTCCTCTCCCAAGCTCAGCCTGGCCCAAATCATCGCCCTGGACCTCCAGGACGCCGAGAGCAGCGCTGAGTTCCTCTCCTCGCTCACCGGCCAACGCGAACGCCACACCAGCACCAGCTCTGACATGTCGGACAGTGTGTTCGTCATGGTCTACCTGCCGCCGCCCTACGAGGAGACGCTGACCAAGATCACACGCGCCGCCAGTCTGACCAGTCGGAAAGAGTCCATGAAGATAGAGGACCTGGAGGCCTGGCTGTGTCCGCAGATCAAGTCCAGTGGACGCTACGTGTGACTGGGGAACACTGGGACTGTCTCTCAAATGGCACCCAATTCCCTATATAGCCCACATAGGGCTCTGGTTAAAAGTAGTGCACTTTGTAGGGAGAAGGGTATAACTAGCAAGCTCTTTCGAATAAGGGGTTTTCAGTGGACTAAGAAAAACATCAGACCTGAGTTAATCTTTTGTGGGTACCAGCTTTCTACACAGAGGAGTGTGCAATTGTATGAAAGCTGGAAGCTGGAAATTGCATTGACTGGCTGTACAGCATACAGTACATCTAGATTCTCTACAGAGGACATACGCTGACTATGTACAAACCGTAGGTCACAGTAGGCAAATAAAACTCTTTCAACGATACAAAAAAGAATATACAATTAATTTGCGTTGTTTTTATCTCCTAAATGAAACCAATTTTTACTTCCACACTACAACCCTCCTGTACCTGTGTTGTTTTACAGTTTGTTCCTTATTTGGAGACTTAAGAATGTCAATGTGCAAAGTACAAGAATGTTAGTCTTATATGTAATACTGTATGTTATTTGAATTTTATTGTAATTGTATTTATATGTAAGAAGGTACAAAGACCTAGCCTGGGTACCATGCCTTTGACAGGAGTGGCAAGGGGTGGAATGTTAGCTAGACTGGTACCTGGACTTACAAAGACCTGGTCCAGGTTAATAATTCCCTTCATTCCTTGGAATCACATCATGAATGTACTCCTAAAAACCTCAGACCTGATACGTTTTATAGACTACATAACAGATATGCAGTATAATTTACAAGTAATATGTTTGTACAAAGTGTTATATTGTTTTAAAATAAATAATAAGAAAAGCATGGTTAGCATGGTTATGATTGACAGAGTTCCGTCATCATCACTTATGCACTTTGGCTGCAAAGTTATAATCACATGCTGCCCCACTATGGTACATCTTGGTCATATCATGTAGACTATGTAGAGGTGAGCTCTCCTTTCCAAACGCATGCCTTACATTACAGCTATGGTCTTGCTGCGTTTCTGAGCAAGATTGTCAAGAAGTGTTAGAAATGTCCAGGGGTCCAACTAGATCTAGCAGCTACAGCATTTCATATTCTACTCTTTGTACCATTTATTCTTGTAAATGATCAGTTTCAGATAACTAGACTTCATGGAAGCGTTTTTATTTAAAGCGTATTTATTCACCAAATGTTAATTGTTGTTAATTAACCAATTAATTTGAATAGTCTACTGTCTACATTATCGCAAAAGCCCAAAATTCAAAACATAATGTATTTTCAGCAAAATAAATGTGTTTATCTAATCAAAAACCACATATTAAAACACAGATTTTCAGGCTACACCATAGAACAATAAAATTGTTTATTGGTTTATTTGTTTATATCATGTAAAAGTAAGAAAAGTCACAAAAGTCATGTCTTTAGAATATAAAAGTCATACAAAAGACATAAAAATAAACTATAGCCTCTGGTAAGCTGTAAATACACATCCTGTAGCCCAAAATGGAAAATAAGACATGCTATTACATGTTGTCTGTTTGGGATCTGCGGTAGGCTTCGTTGTTATATCTGTCTCCGTGTAAATGTGTGTGCGTCCATACATTCGGTTTGTGTGGATGTCATTTCTAGTATCCGCGCCTGCGACAAACCCTCATCCACAATTCCTTCGCTGTTTTTTTCTTACGGCCAAACAAACCCCAGAACCAGCCGCAACACTTCTCCTTCTCCTTCTCCTTTTTATTACTTTCCTCCTCCATCATTGCCATCCATCCCTTCATCCAGAAGGGTTCGGGTTCCTGTGAACAAACAGAGTTGGTGAGTCGAAACTACAGGCACCTTAATTGGGGAGGACGGGCTCATAGTAATGGCTGGAACGGAATCGATGGAATGTTATCGAACACATCAAACACATGGTTTCCATGTGTTTGATACCATTCCAGTGACTCCATTCCAGATATTGTTATTAGCCGCCCTCCCCACAGCAGCCTCCTGTGGTGGAAACAAACCGCAGGAAGCCATCAGCATCAGCAACCTGGCAAAGCTGAAGCTGCAGCTCAGTACAGGACAGACAACATTCAAATTGACTGAAATTATCAATGAGACAACACAGAATACAGTGTAGCTTACCTTCTCAAGGAGGAGTTTCTTCATTCTGTCAGCACTGGCTTTCTCAATGCAAAGCTCCAGCTTGGTCTTGTCTAGGGAAAATGGTGATAGGACAAGATAGGACATTTGAACGGAAGTGAAGAGTTCAAGTTGTTATTGTCCAACTGGTTAGCTGACTGTTACATGTAGCTGTTTACTCTACATCGGATATTGTTGTGAAATTGTGAATGAAAGAACATTGTGGAATACAAGTAATTTACAAGAGACTAGGCCTGATTCTGAATGTAGCACACCAACAGTAACAGTGTTCTACCTGTATTATCTGGACAGCTGGTCTCTCTCTTGACCGGGATGTTGATGCAGTATGGCCGGTCATCACCCTTGTTGGTGTCCTTGGCGAAGGTCAAGGTAGGCCTCAGTTGAGCCATGATCTCTCGGACCATGATATCGCAGACCAGCAGAGACCGTATGTCTGGGTATAGCTGGGCTTTAACCAATGGCCACTCACGGAAAGTCCTGAAGTAGTTGCTCCTGATAGAGAGTGAGACGTCTTCTAAGAATGTGGCCATCTTGTCTGGCTCATCGTTGAGCTTCTTCAGAGTGCGTAAGAACAGTCTTTGGTTTTGGTATTTCAGTGCCTCTTTCTGAACCTGGATATCTATGTGCTCTACCATATCATTGCAAAGTGGGACGTCTTCCCATGAACCGTACTGCTGCTTGATTGTGCATGAATCTGGGAAGACAGAGTCAAAGACTTTCCTGACAAGACTAACAGGAACAATATCAAGGTTTGTCACCTTTGGTTTGTTCCTCTCTGCCTCCTTCTGAGCCTGGTCTTGCACAGGCTTTCCACAGTCCTTTGGTTTGTTCCTCTCTGCCTCCTTCTGAGCCTGGTCTTGCACAGGCTTTCCACAGTCCTTTGTGGTTGACTCGAAAACATCAGTCTGTGGGAACTGCTTCAAAAAGGCAGCCTGACTGACGTCGAGAGCAAGAGGATTAACGGGGACTGTGTTGCTTGATGTTACAACCTCCTCATCGTCGTCCCCGACAAAGTATTTGGGGTCGATCCAGACTACATCTCTGTTGGAGGAACGAGGCAGAGAAACACGGTGGATGTAGTCCAACTTGATGTGGTCATTCAACGGGAAAGCCTTCTGGAACAGTGCCAGTTTCCCGACCTGGGACCCGTAGTGATTGTAGATGGTCTTCCTAAGGTCCTCGGGTAGGGCTACTGCAAAGAGCTTGCTCTCCATTGCCTCTTCGCAGCTCCTAGCAATTGGACGCTGTGGGCCGAGGACTTGAAGCGGATAGGTGTCACTAATGCCCTTGTACACCATTAGGATCCCCTCACAGATAGCACTGGGGATGGTGGAGATGATCACCGGGTCCTTCATGGCAACCAGTTTTTTTATCTTGATTGTTGTGCCAAACTGATGTATCATGGCACTCTGCATGTGCAACACTGTCTGCCTCATGTTGCAGAAGGGGGGGCACAGCTTTTCATCCACAGAAATACCTGGAATCTTCCTCAAGATGTTAAAAGCTACTGAGGCCATTTTAACAACCAGTAAGAGCAGAGCCTGTTGGTCAAGCTGTTTAGTACCGTGTCCGTTCATTGGATGAAGTTTTAGAATAAACTTCACTACGAAGTCATTGAACAGTTCTCCGCTAATGATCAATCTAGCAGGTAGAGGACAGATGTTCACCATATCCTGACTAATATGTCTCTCCTCTTCTTTGGCAGCATTTACATCAGGCACTGTCTTAGAAATGCATAGACCTACGAGATGAACAATGTACCTTGTCAAGATGTGTGACCTGATTCCCAGTGCTCTCGCCAGCACAGGTTTTGGGCCTAGAACCTCCTCCAGGTTGTTGATAACAGCCTTGGCCACCTCATAAGCATCAATGGACTGCTGAGTGTTAGACATCTCCTCATCCTCAGTTACTTGAACCCAGGGAATAGACCACAGAAGAGCTTTGGTGTTGTTGATGATAACAGGTGTCTCCAAATAGACTCCCTCCTGAAAGGCTTGGGGATCTACTTGAAGAAGCACCTGGGTGATGATATGCTTAATGGTAGAACCAAGTACCACAATCTGCTTTGGCATGGTCTTGTATGCAGTCTTCATCGTGGTCTCAATGTCTGTAAGGGCCGTTTGGAGTATGGGACAGGTGCTAAGGTCAAGGACCTCAACCTTCTTCTCCTTCACGTGGTAGAGAAAGAAAGGCATTGTAATGTTAGTTCTATGTACACCTCTGGTGTCTTTACTGCCTAGCACATGTCTTGTAGTGTATTTCTTATTACATGTACAGGTATAGTACTACACTGAGAGAAAAAAGGTGCTATCTAGAACTTGAAAGTGTTCTTCAGCTGTCCCCATAGGAGAACCCTTTGAAGAATCATTTTTGGTTGCAGGTAGAATACCTTTTGGGTTCGATGTAGAACCCTTTCTACAGAGGGTTCTACATCAAACCCAAAAGTGTTATTTCTACCTGGAACCAAAAAGGGTTCTACGTGGAACCAAAAAGGGTTCTCCTATGAGGACAGCCGAAGAACCCCTTTGGAACCCTTTTTTCTAAGAGTGTAGTATACAACAAAAATGCACAAATAAAGGATCCAGTCTTACCTTGTCTACCTGGCTCTCCAGGACCTTCATGACATTGACTGCTGAGGATGAGGAGGGATAGGGGATCAGGTTTGCCTTGAAGACCTCAGCCTTCTTCTCCTGGGCTTCTCCATCCGCCACCTTGTCCAGCAGGCTGTCCATGACCTCCCTGACCTCCTGTGGAATCTCCACCTGGGTCTGGCTGAGGAACTCCACCTGGAGCATCTCATCTGACCTGATCTCAGGTTGGGCCTGTTTCTCTGAGAGCATACCTGCTGTGTCGCCACTCATCAGAGCTGCAGAACCAAGATGCTCATGGGAAGTAACCCATGGCTTGGCCTTGTCAGTCAGGAGCTGCTGCCCCTCCATGGCTACCTTCAGACGGAAGAGAGGAAGACATTAGTTCATACTGTTCCTTTGTGAACTTAAGGTGCAATAACAGGTAAATAAACAGTCTATGTGGATGGTAGCAATGGTGTACTATAGTTTAGGGAATGGAAAAGTATGAGTATACCTCTCCTGGGGACTGGTGACATTGGCTTAGTGTCACGCTCAGCTCTCTATGAATTTCCTGCTCGATCTCATGGAGTCTCTGGCGACCCTTCACCTTCAACATCTGTACGCACAGTAGGAGTTTAATATTAGCAGTGGTATCACACAGGACATTTTATTTTATGGCCTTGACAATGTCATTTTGTTCAGGATATCACAGATTTATCATGGATGTGGTCGGTCCAAAATGTATTAAAAACTACAGGAGAACATCAAAATAGATGCTTATACACATGAGAGCTATTGTATAATTAATGGCAAACTTACCTGCTCATCAAGGTAACAATCGACCCAAGAAGACCCTTGGATGGATGTAGAGTCATCCATATTTGGTATCACCAGGAGACCAGTATAACAGCTAGAAAATATTTATTTACAGAAAACTCAACTAAAAACTGCTAAACTGTGCTAGAAAACTTATGTAAATCCTAAATAAGAACTAAACAATCGAGCAATGTAACCAAGTAGTGTATTATAGCAGTCTGAATTCAGAATATATGTATATAAAAATAGAACTATAGAATGCTCAAAGAATGCTCAAATATAGAACTTTAGAATCTTTGGCAAACATAAGACATTGTGATCACCACTAGATGGTGCAAGTGAACTAAAAATAACTGCGGCAAGGACAGCGCCAGAAAGTATTCTGAAACAGAACGCTTTTCATTCTGAACTGCTTAGATGTCACAGTAGGCTGTTTTGCGTGATAGAAATAGAACAGCGCTGCAAACGTGAAATATTATCAATAAAGAAAAAATCATTACTCTATCTTTATCATATGGAAAAATGTAATGTTTAATTACTCCATCGTTTACAAACAAATAATTTACAATTTAAGTACAGTACTGAGACCCCATGTTTTGAAAATATTCAATTATTTTTGTTTTCTGAAACACAATGATTTATTTTCAATAAATTGTTTTCTTTCATAAAATAACACTCCCATACAAATGAATGACAGGTCAATACTTTTATTCTTAACATCATACAAAATGATTTCCAACAACCACACAATACAGTAACATACTGTGTGCTCAATAGAACCTTGGATATGAACAGACATCAGATACAGTTCAAATGTATCACTAGCTGGTAGGGAATTGGTAATAAAACTTGCTATCTTTAGAAATTATATTTGTTTTTATACAATACGTAAGGAACCATAAGAAAAACATTTGTCATGGATGACTGGCTAGTTGGAACCAGAGCTATTTCAGTGTTCAGTCCTTAATGTCCTTCCCAATAGTTACTTAGATTTGAAAACATTAGCCGAACATAACACAATGTAAAACTAACAATAAGTCATGTTAAATCCTTTAATCAATGGGAACATGTTATGGTCAAAGATAGTTCTAGAAAAGTGGCTTGTCTCTTTATGTTGTTTCAGGACTGGGGCTTTCCACTGGGCTCTGTTGAGAGAACAACGCCCCCAGTAGACAGTCAGTAGCACTGCAGGCAGTGGGCTCCTCTCCTCCCAGACACAAAAGCCTGTGGTACTGAGCCTGTGGAACCCAGCACAGCACCCTGGAACACACACACACACAGAGACGCACAAACACACACGCACCAGGCACACACAGTGTGAGCTATATTAACATGGTACTTGTAAGGTACTTAGTCTTAAGTAGAAAATCTTATTTAAATAAGTCAAAGATGAAAGAGTGTTGTGTAGCGATCTGAGTGTGACTTTGTACCATTCGTAGATGTCGTCTGTCACGGGTTCCGGCTGCGTTTGGACCCACTGACCGATTGACCACATCCTGACCACGTTGCCTATAGCAACCGTCTCCCCTTTACCCTCTCCATCGCCCCCATCAGTGGGCTCCTCTGGGACGTCCTCGTAGCACAGGAAGTAGCTGCTCGAGAAACACACACAGTCACACACAAATACAGACACAGACACAGGCAGTGAGATGCCATCTGATCAACTGTTCTTAGGCCTGAATTCCAAAATGTACATTGTCATCCAACATCTCAGTTCAAAAGAGTCCCAAAGTATTCTTGGCACTAATATTGTACTACAATTATTGTTTATTGACATGTTATGCTTTACTTTAACCCTTTCTCTACCTCCCCCTCTCTCTCGCTCTCACTCACTACTCTGTCTTGGTAGCTCTCTCTTTCCCTGCCACTGGCTTGTCCTCCTCTGTCTCTCCCTCCATCTCGCCATCAGTTTCCTGCTGTAGGCTCTCTCTGGGTCTCTCCACATTCCAGCGCATGCGTTTGTACAGGCCAGTGTCGACCCCAGCCAGGTACGGAGCTGGACAACAGTACCGGTATATGGACAGCCTCACACTGTCTATCTGACACTTGCCTATGTAGAAATGGGAGATACTGGAATGGAGAGAGGGGAGAATGATAGATACATAAATGGCTGGATGAAGGATTGTGGAATGAATGTCAGACGAATGAGAATAAGGATTGACAAGTCCAAGCAGCTGTCCTCTAAAATATTTGGCTCATACTCCAGAATGTTCCATTTGTGGATCTAAATACAGGTATTCAAGTAGTGTTGGTACATATCGTCACTGTCTGATGAAAACCTTGTAACTCAAATTTTGTGTTGAAAGCACTAACTTTCCTCAGTGTACTCTGAACATTTCATAACTCTAGGACCAATAAAATGTATTCAAAATAGCTTCTGAAATCTCGAAATTGTATGTTCGTTAAAAATAGTCTAATATGGGAGTTTTTTTCAATTTCCTGAAAAGTGTCTGTTTTGGAGATTAGGTTTTCACCCGACAGCGGCGCTATGCGTCTGTATGTGCCTATGTGTGTGTTTAGTGGCTCACTGCCTTCAGATGTTATGGTGTAAGTACCAGAGGAGGCTGGTGGGAGGTGCTATGAGGACGGGCTCATTGTAATGGCTGGAATGGAATAAATTAAATGGTATCACACACATCAAACATATGAAAACCACATGTTTGACTCCATTCCATTTACTCTACTCCAGACATTACAATGAGGCCGTCCTATAGCTCCTCCCACCAGCCTCTTCTGGTAAGTACAGCACCTGGCCGGCTCAGCCTCCTCCAGAGAGAGAAAGTCAAAGGAGGCGTAGGTCAAGACCAGCTGCTGGGAGAAGTCTAACAACTGGAGAGATGGACAAACACATAAATACAGACAGACAGACAGACAGACAAATACACACAATTACTCAATACACACCACTCTCAGTTTACAGCATCTCTTGATTTTTCTCTATTATTTCTCAAACCTCTCATAAGCCTTTATTCTTGACCAGAGTTGATTCACAGATACATTTATGTTTGTGTGAAGTGTAGAATACATTTAATATCAATAAACAGTGCAAAGGGAAGGGATCACTGCCGCTACCTCACTTTCCAACCAAGGTGCATGAATTGAAGATAGAGAGGCGATTCAGCAACACTTGTCAATAAAGAGGGACAGTTTTGTCCTGCCCGGATTCAGGTGAGTAGGATTGTGTTTCGAAAGGCTCTTACTCGTGAGCGGATGTACACGGGCAGAGGCGTGCGCTGGGGCAGGGAGCTGCGAGCGGTCGACTCCAGGTAAGTGAAGTAGGGCTGACAGGTCCGCAGGAAAGTAGGCACCACACGAGCAAAGTTTTCCTTTTGCAGATTGTCACGTCTGCAGACAACACACACACATGGTTATGTCACAGGACAGGGATTCATTATGTATTACTTTAATCCTTTTGATAAATAATAAACAATAACTTGAAACACCACTAGATGCAATTGTATAGTTTAGGTGCACTAATCATTGACTCACCTAACCTTTACCTATCATTATCTTAGACTACATTAACAACTTTCCTAACTGACTCTAACGTTACTTGTATAAAAGATGTGCCTGAAACTCATCCGCCTTATTCAGCAGGTACTGGAGTTGCTGTTCAATGGGTCTGAGCTTCTGATCCATCATGTTGATGTCATGGCATGAGGACGTGGACTTCCAAGCCGCATCCCCTGTGCTGTCCCTTTGATCGCCACATGAGGGCGCCAAAGCACGATCCTCTAAATGCTCCACATTTTCTGAAAAATTGCGGGAAATAATTTGCTGATTTGAGTTTGACTAGCAGAGTTAGCACGTTTTTCGTCTACATAATTATTAAGCTACCTATGCATTTTGACAGAAAGTCACCTGTGTCTGGTGATGATTCAGGATAATTTTTCGTCTCCCCCGTTCCATGCTTTCTTCCTATGTGACCTGGCTTTCTGGTGAGTTTGCTTAGGTTGACACCTCCTCGAAATCCTTCATTAGCTAGCTAGCTTTAGCTTGTCAGCTAGCTAGCAACTGCACTATAAGACACGGGTTTCTTGTGTGTTGTGTATTGTTGGTGAAACCATAATTAGGAGAGGGAGTACAAACCATCGACGCTAGACAGAGAGGAATTTGCTTAAGCAAAAAGGCAGTTTATTAAACACAGAGATATCTGTTACTGTTAGCTACATGCATGGGATCCTGCTAATTAACATGCATGGACCCAATCAATTGCCTCTTATGGAGACAGTTGAGAAGGATGATTAAAAAGAGTTTACAGCATTACTTTATACAATGTAACATAAAGGAAGGGGTCCTTCTTCTAGTCCCTGATTGGTTCCCGAGGCGTAGGAGGCGGGTCTGCTCTGTCCAGAGTAGAAGCCCCATTGGTGCACGGCAGAGTCCTCTGCCCTTGGCACCCGACCAGTAGAAGGGGGGGGGGGGTTGAGAATGAGTGTGCGTCCACAGTGAGATGTCTGTGTGTGTCCAGGGAACTCGTGAGGAGTATCTGTTGGTTTATGGCCGGAGGTGGGGGTGTTGTCCTATTATCGCATTCCTAGGCCATCTGGTGAGAAGATAAGGTCTTCTCCTCTGTGCTTTGTTCTCTGACCTGGAACAGCATTTATTGAAAACAGGCTCCAAATGGGTCTTGCACAACATTTTAGTCAGACCAATCTATAACAAATTATATTTACTACGACAAATCCCCCTCTTCACGTCTCCCAGACGTGATCCATTAATTATGGTGGCATGAAGCATAGTTGAATCAGTCTTAAAAGAAAAACAATAATGCAGAAAAGTAAACAACACATGATAACGCATAATGCAATTGTAAAAAATTTCAACCATCCCCCTCTAGCATACTAATTATATGGCCAGTTAATTAAACAATGTTAGTCCCCCTCTAGTGAGTGAATACAACAATCAGAGTTGGTCTTCGAAATCGCTAACCTCCAATTGTCGCTGTTCTGGTTTGTAATTGTCACGGTTTCGGCCGAGGCTGCTCCTCCTCCTGGTTCGGGCAGGCTTCGGCGTTCGCCGTCCCCGGAGTACTAGCTGCCACCGCTCTATGTTTCTGTGTGCCATTGCTTTGGTCTGTCTGTCACACCTGTGTTTGTTTTAGTGTTGATTACGTGTCTTATAAGTTCCATGTTGTAATCTAGGGTTTTTGTGTGTTGTTGTCCGTTGCCACGTTGTTATGATACGTTGTTATTTTTCCGTGTCATTTTTCCGTGTTGAAGTGTTTTACGCGTGTGCGTATTGTTCCTCGCCTCTTCTTGTTTTCGAGGTCGGGGCTTGTACACTTGCTTTGGACACTATTAAAAGTCTTGTTGGATTTACCTCTGCTTCCTGCGCTTGACTCCTCCACCACATCCACGACGGCTCATGACAGTAATCATGACAGGCCCATCCACCCCCAGGGACAACACCATACAGACATTCAGGATTCCCCAAAGGACAATCAAGAGGTCCACCTTTAATATTATATAAGGGAGGATAGTCACTTTCAAAATCGTCCAGTTCCAAATCATTAGTTCCCAAAAGCGGATACATCTGGGCTTGGTCATTGTGAATTGGTGCAATAGCAGTGGTTATTATACGGTTAATCAGAGTGCGGGCACAGGGAATACAACAACATCCACACAATGTAAGAATTGATACAAAAACAGCAATAGAAATTAATACAGATGAAATAAGGGTTTTATATTTACCAAAAACATCCATCCAGGAATCCCACATAGAGGTATCAACCCCAGAATGATCTTTCATTTTACCATTAAGAGTCCTCAAACCTTCTAGAGCAATTGTCAAACTTCCATCTGCAGCAGTGTTGTTTGGAGATGAAAGTACAGCACATATATCCAAACAGAACACAAACCCCGTCCCGCTCAGCCAAAAGCTAAAAAAACTCCATAAAATTCACTGTGTGCTCCTCTAAGACCTGTCACCCTTGACCTGCTGAAAACCCTCCAAAATTGAAACAACAAGGCTTTATAAACATCATACTAGGTGTGTTGTTTTCTATTTGAAAAACCCCAATTAAAAAACAACAACCAAACAGCCAGGTCATGAGGACTCCTGATTTCTCTCTTCCCCTTCTGCCTACAGTTTCTTAACTGGTGCCCTTTCCTTGCAGTAACTACACGGTTCCTCACATTCTCTAGCAAAATGTCCCGTTTTGTCACAATTGTAACACTTCCACTCACTCCTATCTGACTTTCTCTCATGATGGATTGCATGTCTCTCTGAGGCTATTACACAATTCAGTTATTTTCCCAACATACTCTCCGTAATCAGCCCATGGCAAAAGTGTCCTCTGGGCATCCCCTGAAACCCACTGCCCTCTAACGGCAGCCCAAACCTTACTATTCCTGTTCTGGGGTGGGTCATTCTTTCTACCGCTCTGGCCACGTCCTCTGTGTTCATGGCCTGTCTGCTAAATGGCATATTATTATTATTACTGTATACATCTAAGGTTGCTGGGGCCCCTTTCATTCCCCGCCAATAGATTAGGTAAGGCTATCAGTGGGTACTGGCCCCCTCCTACTCTCTCTCTCTCACACTGCTTATTTCTCCTTTACACACCTTATGTATCTGTTTTAAGCATGGATTTGAGTTTATCTGCGTCCAGACGTCCCTCAAAACCATACCTCTCCCTCCACCTGGTTATATAATGGAGATTTCTTCTATCCCTGGATTCCATTTTAATTACATCAAGCATTTCTCGTCCCCAGTAAATTCTGGGACCTCTTGTGAGGATTTGCCCCCCCCATGGTTGGTACTGTTAAAAATCCCTTAGCCACCTCTTCTATATTACAAGTCAATTTAACAAGTAATTCAAAATAGCTTCACACAACAACACCTCATAAGGAGTGCCCAGCAGGAGTCCAATTCCTATCAGAAAACATACATACAAACATTCAGACACTCCCAATCTCTCCCAGGGGGAAAAAGTTATCCTTCTCCCTGAGTGAGATTGTTGTTCCCATAAGGGTTTCTTCATTGTGTTGTCAGGATTGGTTCTCGCTGCTCAAATCAGCTCTTACTTCAGACAATGGTCTGGAAGGAGTGGGGGCTGGAGTGCAATGTGTTAGATGGTGCCAGGGTGCTCCTGATTTACCTCTGACCTGGACTGAGTGTGAAGTAACCTCCTTCACTTCGTACGGTCCAGTCCACCTGGGTTCCAGCCACTTTCTTTTGTGGACTTTCACCCTCACCCAGTCTCCCACTTTTACCTTCAGTGGTGGCGTGTTTCCCGACAGCTCCCCCTCTTGGGCCTTCCGCACCTGAGAAGAGAGTGCTGCAGAAAATTCCGTCAATTTCTTCACATAATCAGTCATTTCTATCTGTTGTACATCAAGGGCGGGCATATGACCTCCCTCCCTTGGTGGACCTGGCATTACTCTCCCTGTCATTCGTTGTTCTAAGTATTCATTGAATTTGGGTTTGGTTGGGTTTGGCCCTGCCATCTTGCTTTCTCTATCTTTATACACTTATCCCGTCCCTGGTGTTTTATTTCCAAGGATGTATTATCGGTATCAATACAGACTTATCTCATGTATGACACCCTCGTATATAAAGGGTTAATTTATATAATTTGTAATGCAATTATTATCATACAAATCAGAATTCCAGTCACATACACCAATGCAGTTATTCCTCCACAGCACACAACACGCTTTAATTGTCTCAGCTCTTGTTAAAGAATATGCACAGATCCAATATCAGTCTCCCCAATCCCTGGTTCCTGAAAGCCTAAGTCAAATTCACTCAATTCCACAAATTGGTATTCAGTTTCATAAGTCTCACTATAACTTCCCATCCTCCATTACACGTTTAAGATATAACACAGACACGTTAAAATATAAACACAGCAAAACAAAACTGCCAATTAGAATACAATACCTTAAAAAATTTAGGTTACCAGAGCGTCCTAAAACATAGTCTCAGTTCGACTGCTACCCTTCACACAACCTTATACTTATGTGAAGTCACAGAAGCAACTGGATCCCTATCAAAGGATTTTTTTTTTTTTTTTAGACAACTCGATCACTAGGAAGGACTTAGTCTCAGCTTAATTGTACCTTTCACACAACCATTTATATGGAACGTTTTAAGTGTGAAATCACAGAGATAACTGGCATCCCCGGGAATTTAGTACCTCTGGTCAATTTCGGTGATTCTCCCCCACCTAATGTCTAGAACTCTGCCACAGTTTAACTTCAACCTCCTCGCAACCTATAGGGTATATTTTATGCGAGACATTTCAGAACAAACTGGGTCCCTTTAGGAATCTAGATTTATGGGTCAAATCTTATCCACCAATGCGTCAATCCGTAGTTTGACACATTCAAATCAAATCAAATCAAATCAAATCAAATTTTATTGGTCACATGCGCCGAATACAACAGGTGCAGACATTACAGTGAAATGCTTACTTACAGCCCTTAACCAACAGTGCATTTATTTTAAACAAAAAAGTAAGAATAAAACAACAACAAAAAAGTGTTGAGAAAAAAAGAGCATAAGTAAAATAAAGTGACAGTAGGGAGGCTATATATACAGTAAAATAAAGTGACAGTAGGGAGGCTATATATACAGGGGGGTACCGTTGCATAGTCAATGTGCGGGGGCACCGGCTAGTTGAGGTAGTTGAGGTAATATGTACATGTGGGTAGAGTTAAAGTGACTATGCATAAATACTTAACAGAGTAGCAGCAGCGTAAAAAGGATGGGGTGGGGGGGCAGTGCAAATAGTCCGGGTAGCCATGATTAGCTGTTCAGGAGTCTTATGGCTTGGGGGTAGAAGCTGTTGAGAAGTCTTTTGGACCTAGACTTGGCACTCCGGTACCGCTTGCCGTGCGGTAGCAGAGAGAACAGTCTATGACTAGGGTGGCTGGAGTCTTTGACAATTTTGAGGGCCTTCCTCTGACACCGCCTGGTATAGAGGTCCTGGATGGCAGGGAGCTTTGCCCCAGTGATGTACTGGGCCGTACGCACTACCCTCTGTAGTGCCTTGCGGTCAGAGGCCAAGCAGTTGCCATACCAGGCGGTGATGCAACCAGTCAGGATGCTCTCGATGGTGCAGCTGTAGAATTTTTTGAGGATCTGAGGACCCATGCCAAATCTTTTTAGTCTCCTGAGGGGGAATAGGCTTTGTCGTGCCCTCTTCACGACTGTCTTGGTGTGTTTGGACCATGATAGTTCGTTGGTGATGTGGACACCAAGGAACTTGAAGCTCTCAACCTGTTCCACTACAGCCCCGTCGATGAGAATGGGGGCGTGCTCAGTCCTCTTTTTTTTCCTGTAGTCCACAATCATCTCCTTTGTCTTGGTCACGTTGAGGGAGAGGTTGTTGTCCTGGCACCACACGGCCAGATCTCTGACCTCCTCCCTATAGGCTGTCTCATCGTTGTCGGTGATCAGGCCTACCACTGTTGTGTCGTCGGCAAACTTAATGATGGTGTTGGAGTCGTGCCTGGCCATGCAGTCATGGGTGAACAGAGAGTACAGGAGGGGACTGAGCACGCACCCCTGAGGGGCCCCCGTGTTGAGGATCAGTGTGGCAGATGTGTTGTTACCTACCCTTACCACCTGGGGGCGGCCCGTCAGGAAGTCCAGGATCCAGTTGCAGAGGGAGGTGTTTAGTCCCAGGATCCTTAGCTTAGTGATGAGCTTAGAGGGCACTATGGTGTTGAATGCTGAGCTGTAGTCAATGAATAGCATTCTCACGTAGGTGTTCCTCTTGTCCAGGTGGGAAAGGGCAGTGTGGAGTGCGATAGAGATTGCATCATCTGTGGATCTGTTGGGGCGGTATGCAAATTGGAGTGGGTCTAGGGTTTCTGGGATTATGCTGTTGATGTGAGCCATGACCAGTCTTTCAAAGCACTTCATGGCTACAGACGTCAGTGCTACGGGTCGGTAGTCATTTAGGCAGGTTATCTTAGAGTTCTTGGGCACGGGGACTATGGTGGTCTGCTTGAAACATGTTGGTATTACAGACTCAGTCAGGGACATGTTGAAAATGTCAGTGAAGACACTTGCCAGTTGGTCAGCACATGCTCGGAGTACACGTCCTGGTAATCCGTCTGGCCCTGCGGCCTTGTGAATGTTGACCTGCTTAAAAGTCTTACTCACATCGGCTACGGAGAGCGTGATCACATAGTCGTCCGGAACAGCTGGTGCTCTCATGCATGCTTCAGTGTTGCTTGCCTCGAAGCGAGCATAGAAGTGGTTTAGCTCGTCTGGTAGGCTTGTGTCACTGGGCAGCTCGCGGCTGTGCTTCCCTTTGTAGTCTGTAATAGTTTTCAAGCCCTGCCACATCCGACGAGCGTCAGAGCCAGTGTAGTATGATTCAATCTTAGACCTGTATTGACTCTTTGCCTGTTTGATGGTTCGTCGGAGGTCATAGCGGGATTTCTTATAAGTGTCCGGGTTAGAGTCCCGTTCCTTGAAAGCGGCAGCTCTACCCTTTAGCTCAGTGCGGATGTTTCCTGTAATCCATGGCTTCTGGTTGGGGTATGTACGTACGGTCACTGTGGGGACGACATCATCGATGCACTTATTGATGAAGCCAGTGACTGATGTGGTGTACTCCTCAATGCTGTCTGAAGAATCCCGGAACATGTTCCAGTCTGTGCTAGCAAAACAGTCCTGTAGCTTAGCATCTGCGTCATCTGACCACTTTTTTATTAGCCGAATCACTGGTGCTTCCTGCTTCAGTTTTTGCTTATAAGCAGGAATCAGGAGGATAGAGTTATGGTCAGATTTGCCAAATGGAGGGCGAGGGAGAGCTTTGTATGCGTCTCTGTGTGTGGAGTAAAGGTGGTCTAGAGTTTTTTCCCCTCTGGTTGCACATTTAACATGCTGGTAGAAATTAGGTAGAACGGATTTAAGTTTCCCTGCATTAAAGTCCCCGGCTACTAGGAGCGCTGCATCTGGATGAGCGTTTTCCTGTTGATTAATGGCCTTGTACAACTCATTCAGTGCAATCTTAATGCCAGCATTGGTTTGTGGTGGTAAATAGACAGCTATGAAAAATATAGATGAAAACTCTCTTGGTAAATAGTGTGGTCTACAGCTTATCATAAGATACTCTACCTCAGGCGAGCAAAACCTTGAGACTTCCTTAGTATTTGATTTTGTGCACCAGCTGTTGTTTACAAATATACACAGACCGCCGCCCCTTGTCTTACCAGAGTCTGCCGTTCTGTCCTGCCGATGTAGCGTATAGCCTGCTAGCTGAATGTTGTCATTGTTGTCGTTCAGCCACGACTCCGTGAAACATAAGATATTACAGTTTTTAATGTCCCGTTGGTAGGATAACCGTAATCTTAAATCGTCAATTTTATTCTCAAAAGATTGAACGTTGGCTAATAGGATTGATGGGAGAGGCAGTTTACTCGTTCGCCGTCGGATCCTTACAAGGCACCCGGATCTGCGTCCACGATATCTCCGTCTCTTCCTCACGCGAATGACGGGGATCTGGGCCTTGTTGGGTGTCTGTAGAATATCCTTCGCGAACGCCTCGTTGAAGAAAAAGTCTTCGTCCAATACGAGGTGAGTAATCGCTGTCCTGATATCCAGAAGCTCTCTTTGGTTATAAGAGACGATGGCAGAAACATTATGTACAAAATAAATTACAAATAACGCGGAAAAACACACATAATAGTACAATTGGTTAGAGGGCTGTAAAACGGCAGCCATCTTCTTCCGGCGCTGTTCTTCCTTATCTTTATTCCTTATTCCTTTATTCCTTATTCCTTTATTCCTTATTCCTTTATTCCTTATTCCTTTATTCCTTATTCCTTTATTCCTTAGTATAAAACACAGTACCAGATATCTCATGTATGCCTTAATTCATTAGGATGGAAAATTATTTAACAAGTATTCATACTCACACTCAGTACTTCTGATCAAAATTTGGTATTGGTCTATAATACAATATGCAAGATTTCGTTTTAACAGGCTCTGCATACCTTTTTAGAAGAGCGCTCTGATCAGGTTCCTGAGGCAAGACGAATAGTTGATGTCTCCTGGATTTCAGGTCACTCTTCCGTCTGTTTTTAGATCGATGATTTGCCTTTTCCTCTCGCACCAACTCTTTAGATCGAATTAGAAACCATCCTCTGCTACCAATTTGTTGAATTTGTTGGTGAAACCATAATTAGGAGAGGGAGTACAAACCATCGACGCTAGACAGAGAGGAATTTGCTTAAGCAAAAAGGCAGTTTATTAAACACAGAGATATCTGTTACTGTTAGCTACATGCATGGGATCCTGCTAATTAACATGCATGGACCCAATCAATTGCCTCTTATGGAGACAGTTGAGAAGGATGATTAAAAAGAGTTTACAGCATTACTTTATACAATGTAACATAAAGGAAGGGGTCCTTCTTCTAGTCCCTGATTGGTTCCCGAGGCGTAGGAGGCGGGTCTGCTCTGTCCAGAGTAGAAGCCCCATTGGTGCACGGCAGAATCCTCTGCCCTTGGCACCCGACCAGTAGAAGGGGGGGGGGGGTTGAGAATGAGTGTGCGTCCACAGTGAGATGTCTGTGTGTGTCCAGGGAACTCGTGAGGAGTATCTGTTGGTTTATGGCCGGAGGTGGGGGTGTTGTCCTATTATCGCATTCCTAGGCCATCTAGTGAGAAGATAAGGTGTTCTCCTCTGTGCTTTGTTCTCTGACCTGGAACAGCATTTATTGAAAACAGGCTCCAAATGGGTCTTGCACAACATTTTAGTCAGACCAATCTATAACAAATTATATTTACTACGACAGTATTAATTGAACACTTTCCAAGTTACAACTTTCTGAGCCAGTATTTTCATGAATTGAGGATAGTTAGCTATTAGCTAACTAAGCGACACCTACGCCACTTTCCCCAATCCTCTGAATGCTTGTGAAGAGCTCATGTGCAGCGCCATGGACGTTCCGGTCCCACGGTCAGTCCAGGACTTGACAAGTACGGTTCTCAACCTCTCTCCGTCTCCTCTTTCCCTTGGCATCTATAGCTGACGCTCGGTCCTGTCTCAACTGATTTAGTCTGTCTGCAGGCTAGCCTAGCGCGAGAACTACTACTACGAGAGCGTGTGAAGCAACCACTAGAGCGAGCGGACCCCTCTGCTGGCCGAAACATGCACAAAACCTCTTGACAATTATGTGGTCTTATTTATATACATAATTGGAGATAGACAACCCTTCTGCCTAGGAAGACTAATAAATAAATGATTGCAAAATGTAAAAAAGACCATATATCTTACACCATTGTCATTGTCAAGCCAAATATTATCGTTTGTTTGACAACACTGGTATGAAAAAATATATGCTTTGATTTGTCAATATTAGTATCCCCAGTAGCTATATGAATAGAGTTATACTAACTAACTCTATCAAAAGTCTAGAAGTGAGTGTGCGGAGTGCAGACTGATGATGACCACCGGCTCCACGCTTCGATTCATGGCTCTTTCAGTTCTTGCCACCAGAGGGCAACATTGATACATAAAACCCCACTGAATCGAAGTGAATTGGGTTACATTACATTTTAAACTTTTTAGAGATTTCGTATGTGATCAGAACATGTATTAATCTCTCGGCGTGGTCGCTGTGCGCTGTTGTAGTTGACATAATCGTGTATGACGTAATATATGAGCCTATGACGTAAACGCAGTCAAGAAATGATTAAGTTGATTGGCTCAGTTGAGTTGATAGTTTGCGTAGGACAGTCATCCTCATGTTCAAAGACATTACTTTGCCTGGACAAGAAATTCTGTGTAACTGTATGTACAGCTAAATTTACCAGGATTTTATTTAAAATGTTAGAAAATTGAAGATAAAAATGTATTTGTTTATAATTTTTCTATCATGGTACAGGTCCAATCTGAAGGATGTTTTAAAATAAAATGGGTAAAAGTCATAAACGGTTGAGGAGAGTTTGTCTAAAGGTAAGTCTCATATAAGAAAATAAAAAAAGTTATCTGTGTGTCTCTGTAATGGGGAAATATTTTTAGTAGTACAGCCATATGCTAGGGGTTTTAAAACCTCTCCTTGAGGACCCCCAGACGTTCCACTGTATTCCACAGCTAGCACACCTAATTCAACTTGTCAACTAATCATTAAGCCCTTGAATAGGTGAATCAGGTTTGCTTGTTTAGGGCTACAACAAAATTGTGAAATGTCTGGGGTTCCCCAAGGAGAGGGTTGAAAACCACTGGCCTATGCAAAAACAGACTGATATGCTTTATGTTTGGAAAAGTGGGCATAAAAATGGAGGGCTCAAGTGTAATTTATTTCATTACATTCCTCTACCCCAGGCTGGGACCCTCCAAGTTAGTGCTGGAGAACAGGTGCTTCAGACAGATGACCATAATGGACCAAGGCTGCCAGCACTGGTGGACTGCCCCAAGAACAGCCCCCTAAAGGTTAGAAACGGCTTTGAGTTCTGTTGCAAAACGCTTTGAACAGTTCAGAGTGAAATACGTATCAGTTCAATTGGAAAACGTTCAAAACGTTTTGTAACGTTAGGCATGCTGAATGTACTCCAGGCAAACCTCTCAGAGCAGACTGGTTGGCTCTAAGCCACACCCACTTCAATTGTGATTAGGCTTTTAATGTGATTAAGCCCTGCCCACTTCCAATTTTGGTCCCCTCTTCGAATCAAATCCCGAGTGCCTGCCACATCCGTTTTGATTGGCTCTTGGTCAGAAATGCTATGCCTTAATTGGACATCCATTTTTATTGGTTCGTTGGTCAAGTGGATAGTGCTGTCATTCATATGCTAATGATGTATAGGGCTAAACCACGCTTGTCCATTTTTGGTCACCCCTAATCTGAGCTCCGCCCACATCCATTTTGATTGGCACCTTGGTAGGGGATGGGCAGGTTGTATACTGGGCCATGTTCAGTGGCAAAACGTTGTTGAACATTGCCGATACAAATGCCATGACTAGAGCTTACGTGATTCCTTATTCTACATGTTTAAGAGGCATGTTTGTTCATTATAGCGTAATTCTATCTGAATGTTGCTAAACGTTGTCTTGCTGAACATGCCCCTGGTTGTATAAGGACGTTTTGTTTTGAAATCTTTACCTGGTTGTAACTGAGAGTTGGTTGTAATGTAAGTTATATGACGTGTTCTCAACCAGTTTTTTTTTTACAATGAGATAATGATGCATGGGTCACTTACTGTACTAGTTAGAACCAATAGCATTCAAATTCTGATTCTTATTCTAATTCTAAAGTTAGCCCTTATGTGACATGTCACTCAGTACCGTCATGTCTATGGTGAAAGAGATGGTTTCTATGGTGATACGATTTTGCTAATATTGTTGTTTATCTCAGAACTTCGTGCCGAAGCCCCCACGAGGCCCCAGGCTGAGCGGTCAGGCCAAGATGGCCAAGGTCGAAAAGAACGCCAGAGAGGCCGTGGAGTCCAGAAAGGACAGAGAGGCCAAGGCAGCGGCGAAAAAACCAAGCCACCAAGTAGTTGGTGTGTTGGCGCTGCCTCCACCTCTTCTATCTCCAACAACCAGTTACAGTGAGTATTGATCACCACTTCCAAAATACTTGGATTTATTGATAGAATTCTTAAAGGATATATGGTGGAAGGATCAACTAATGGCTCGACTCTCCTCTTTCTTTAGGTGTCCTGCCAGCTATCAAGAACACTAAAGTGACGAAGGTGGAGACAACAGGTGGGTGTTGGTGACACAGTGGTTATTCAATAGAATCGTTGCCATGGTTACGAGCTTGTTCAGCGGTAATTCTGATTCTCTTCTCTTTCAGTGCCACCAGGCCCCATGACACCTGAGGATGAGGTGAGAATGAACTCCTCTCCATCTGTTGATGACCCCCTTACCCCAGAGACCCCAGAGAGTGATGTCACCTCCGATGCCACTTCTCTGGCGGACACACCCCGTGAGATGACACCTGAGAACGTAGAGGAGGCGTCTTCTCTAGAGGACTTCCTGAAGTCTCACCCGTGAGTTCTGCTCTGAACCGTGTTATGTGCAGTAGAAAAAATTGAATCTAGTTGCCAGTCTACTAACCAATGATTCCTGGTGTTTGTTTGTTTTCCAGTCAGAGAAAGCGCATCAGGAAGTTCCTCAAACAAATGGTAAGTCCCCCATTTTTTCTTCTTTACCCCATTTCTACTTCTTTACCGACTAATCATGCTAACAACAACAAAAACGTGTAACTTAAAGACTAAGAGGAAATGCTGTCATTTAAAAATGGTTGTTTTCCGTATTTCTTTCTAAGAATGTGACCATAGAGGACCTGGAGGACATGTCCTATGCGTTCCTCCTGCCAGCGATAGCTCTGCTCAGGACCTCCAGTCCAGAATCATCCAACTGCTCCTTCCGGGGGTCAGGGGTGCTGAAGATCGTCTCGGAGACGTTCCACCGGCGGAGCTCTGAGCCAAAGGGGAGGCTCAGGGGCGGGCAGCCCCCCACGCCCAATTCTGAGACAGACAAGGAGCTTCAGGGTACAGCAGACATGGTTGTGAGTAATATCCTGAGGAATGCCCAGGAGGACCTCTTCTCCTCTGGTATGAATGACCTGGAGACCACCAATCCAGGCATCGCTCTGACCGAAGAGAGGCTCTCCAGTATCTTCTCAGAGCTGTTTAGGGACGCCTGTGAGAGTGCCCAGGAGGCCGCCAGACGGATCCACCACACGAGGTCCGGAAGAGGCAACAAAAGCCGGAGTGGGAGTTGCTCTGGGTCATCACAGGGATCGAGCCGGTCCAACATGCCAGAGCTGGTAGAGTGTGTGGATGCTCAGCCACTATCTCTGGAACATCCAAGTGTGTCCTGCTCCAACAGAAGCTCTGGGTCCTCACAGGGATCGAGACGGTTCGACCTCTGTCATCAGGCAGTGGAGATGGAGAGGGTTTATCTCCAGAGAGACACACCCCACTCCAGTGTCAGTGTGAGAGAACTGGGGTCAGTGAGGAGGGCCAAGAGAAGGGATGTCCATAAAGCCCTCAGTGAGGGGTCCCTCAATGTCTTTGCCCTGTTCAGGGAGAGGGCAGGGGAGATTTGGCAGACCAGCACATGGGACATGGAGCAGACCCAGCCTCCCAGCACCCCCACATCCAGCGAGGAGGATTTGTGGGACAGCGACTCCAGCTTGTCTCATGGGGTTGGGGAGGAGGAGAGGGGCAGCTCCCTGATCCTGACCCCCCAGGCCTCCACCTCACTCTCTGATCAAGACAAGAGAGCACTAGGTTAGTTATTATGTAGTCTTGTCTCCTTTTGCTCCCTTGTTATTATTGTTATTGCCATTTACAATGTGACCAAGATGTTTTGGGGTGGGGGTGCTGTCGATGGGGGGAGGGAGTATTTTTCTCCGCTCTGCTGACAAGTCATTTTCTCCGCTCATACAGGAGTCATAAAGGCCTAGTTCACTAATTTTGTGAAGAAAATCATCTATAAAAAATAATAATGATATATCTATATATACATTTTAAATAAATGTTGATTTGACTAGAGGACGTCTGCCAGATCCTGACCGCCTGGGTGGAAAAGAGGCTGAACAGGACCTGCAACGACAATTACAGGGCCAGTGTCATCATCCAGAAAGGTCCATTTATAACCTGTTTTACCAATATGACCAGTATTAACCCTGTTATAACCAGTGTAATAACCAATGTATTATCATTATAGTAAATGTACTAGATACTGCATAGTGCTATACATGGATGTGGCTTTGAATAAGTTCAGAGTATTAGTGTGTTTTCTTAGGATTGGATTCTGGTGCCAGGGACAGGTTCCCTTACATTCAGTGTCCTTCTTCATCAGAGGAAGAAGAGGAGTTGGTCACGAGTGTCATGACTGTCTTACACTCAGAGCCCTCCACCTCAACCAAGGCAGCACGGGCAGCTCCTGCACAGACCCTGGAGTTCAACCCCTGTCTGGATGAAGATGAGGTGGTCCCCAGCACCTCCATGGGTGCGGGATTCCTGACGACCACTCAGGCAGCATGGGCAGCTCCTGCCCAGACCTTGGAAGAAGAGGTCGGGGGAGCTGATGTCTCTGAGGTGAGTACCAGCTCCCTGACCCCCACCGAGGCCAGGCAGGGCCTCCTGGGGAAGATTCCCTCTCTCCTTCCGGGTGAGATCCTCATCGAGGAGGACATCTCCTTTCGCAGCACTCCCAGGGACACCGTCATGAGCCCCCAGACCCTGAAGTTTATCCTCCAGGGCATCATGCGCCGACTGGAGGCCTCAGAGTCCCCCCAGGCAAGGAGGGCCAATGACCCCTTCAGGCTGATGAAGAATCTCTTTGTGGAGGTCCAGCATGCCCTGAAGTATGCTGACATCTCTGTCCTCTTCAGCCTGGAGGAGAGCATCCAATTTAGGGGGGAAGATGCAATGAAGGCCATCGTGAAGGCTGCGGCTAAAATGTTGTCCCTGCGTTCGGATTCCAACCGGCGTGCCGCACGCTATGGTGGCGAGGTAGCCGTCTGTTGCATGGCAGATACCATCGCGCACGTCATAGGCGACTACGCCCAGGACTGGAGTTCTGACGGCCATTTTGGAGCGAGGAGGAGCCTTGGTAGTGGGAGGTCACGCTCCTCTTCAAGCTCCTCAAAGAGTGACATCACCCTCACAGAGGAACTCTTGGCCCAGGGGGAAACCCTGGAAGAGGACCAAGAGGAGGTGGCTGCGATCGACGACAACGAGAAATGTGACTCTGCTAGCTTGGAGAAGGCCAGCAGCAGCTCCCTCTCCGCAGACCTTGTGGACAGCACCTCCACACAGGTAAGGAGTCTATCATTAACCAGTATGTTGTTTAGTTATTGGGGCTGTTTGATTGTGAGGCACCAACTCATATCTGTTTCTCTCTCTACTAAGAAGACAGTGAAGGACGAGGCTGTGAAGGAAGGAGTGAGGAAGTCAGGAGAGGGGAAGCGAGGTCGCAAGAAGACCCTGAAGAAGAACAAGGTGTCTCCCCTTGGCACTGATGGTAAGTCCTCCCTTCTGTCAGTCCACATGTCTATTTGTCTTCAACAAAATTATATTATTTCACCACATTGTAATGTTAGGGGAAGAGACTATGATGAAGTTATCAGGGTCTTATTCATTAAACGGAAGTAACAGGGAGGAACTTCCTTGAACAAAAAAAAAGGTGTTTTTGTTTTCCATTGCAAAAGTTTTTTTTACGGTTTGTCCTAATGATGTCATGCCATGTTCTCTGTCACCTGTTCAGATACCGTGGCTGATGAGCCGGGGGGAAAACGATCTCTCCTCCTGAGGATTACAGCTGCCCTGGCAAAACTATTTTGCTTCCCCTGCAAAAAGAGAAGCGGCAAAAAGTAGTTGTGTGGGTATACCCACTTAGAGCACTTCAGTGCACTTGCCTCCTCTCCACAAACCCAGAGTCAACTCACAACCTATTTCATGATTCCAACCATACCCCCACGCTATTGTGGCGAGGGAGCCATCTGTTACATGGCAGACACCATCGCACACGTCATAGATGACCATGCTGAAGATTGGAGCTCTGACGGCCATTTTGGAGCCAGGAGGTAGTAGTGACATCACCCTCACCAAGGAGCTCTTGGCTGAATGGGCCAAGGAAGCGGACCAAGACGACGTGGCTGATGATGAAACTGGCATGACAATACCCCCCCCAAATAACAAACCATTACAAACCATGATGATTCCTCCCATAGCCCGGCCCGGACCTATTTAATTCAATAAACATGTACTTGCATCTATTTTGAACCTCTTTTTTTGTTTTTAACAGGCCTACTGTAGACTACAAATTATTAAGTGCAAATTGATGTGTGTACTGCATCAATATTATGAGTTCACTGTGCCAGTCATTATGAGTTCACTATGCCAGTCATTATAGTTAATCTAGGCTTTAACACTCTTAACTGTATTGGTATTGACACAATACGAGTTACATTTGAGTATTTTCTAAATTTGTGTTTCTGAGGGAATACATCTGCAATATACTGCTAATAATGTTAATCGAGAGGGAAAAATACTTCTGGAAATGTACAAAAAAGAATAGATCATATTCTTGCCTTTGACAGTTTAGATCATTCAAATGTAATAGCTTCAGGGTTGTGGAGGTCATAGTCTCTTATGACGGCTACCAAAGTCCATCCTGCTTTCACCACTCGCTCACACTATTCCAATATCTTAACCTCTCCCTCAGTGGCGGCTCCTGAAAAAATTCTCAGGAGGGGCATTTTTTCTGATGATTTAGGTGACCTACACACATTTAAAAAAGATATGTCCAGCAACAACATGAAGACAGGGGCAGCATATAAGTCAATACCAGAAGCATTTATTGACTGATCTGGGGAGATGGATTCCAGTTTCTGTGACAGATTATAAATAATCTCTGATGCCTTTGTTATATTAGCTTTTGGTTGAATGTACTGTCGTAGTAAATATATAATGTTATAGCTTGGTCTGACTAAAATCTTGTGCATGACCCATTTTGTGTTGGGCGTTTGTTTTCAATCAATGCTGTTCCTATCCTATAACAATGGACAAAAGAGTCCTATCTTGTCAGCCTTGTCAGCAGGTGGCCAAGGACAACACCCACGCCATAGGTCTCTCAGTTCTTCCAACTCACGAGTTCTTGCTCTGAGGACACACACACACACACACACACACACATCATCACTGATAACACACACACACACACACATCATCACTGTTAAACACACACACACACAAAAATCCCCTCTCTTTAGGCTGAACATTTGAAGACAGAGAACCCGACTCAGAGCCAATGCAACAGTGGAGGGGACCTCGCCCAACTCATCAGGACCAATCAGAAGATCCAGAACTACTAGATTCAACCTACATCATTTATTGTATAAAATGTCTGCACAATGTTTTCGGGGCTCTCTTCAGATAGCTCCCTAAGAGTTTGACGAACGGGTCCGTGCACGCGATTCCAGATATCTTTACCTCTGAATAAACTGCCTTTATTATACCATATCCACCCTGTCCAAAGTCTCTACTTGGTCTCAGTTCTCCAGTAAACTTGTGATTATCAACAGTACACAACGGTAACAAACAATTGGGGGAACTCACGGGGCAGATAGTAAGGTCGCAGTGACACAGAAAGCAGTTCAATGTCGGGGTACAGAGTCGCTCTCTTACCAGGATCGCGGTCCGCTCTGACCAGGGTGAAGCCGGCCGGCTCCACTTCTCTGTCCGGGACTCTGTCATCCAGCCAAGTCTCCCAGCTGTATTGGATTCCGCTGCCAGCAGCGTTTTCATTATTTAGTCCGTTCGTAGCGGGTATGTACACGATCAACAAGATCAGTCCAAAACCAACCACTGGAAATCCATGGTTGGCAGAATGTTTGTAAACTAAGTCTACAAATTAAAAACATAAAATAACGCCACACTGCAGGTCGCAACAGAGACGCTGCTAGCCGCCATTTTCTTAGTTACGTTCATGGTTACGTCACGTATGACGAAAGCGCGTAAGTGCAAGCCCACAGACACCCATAGAGAATGTATTGAAAGCTTTGAAATTTGAAAAAAATAGATTTTACATGACAGGCTATGAGAGACTTCTGGGCGATTTTCAACTTGACTGAAATCGCCCCAAAAACGGGCGGGGCCATTTGAAGCACGACTTTAGCCTGATTTGACATTTAGTGGCAGTCAGATCAGATTACAACACTGATAACTACTGTTGCCGTGATATAATTGATTAGAAAAAAATCCCTTCCTTTTCCCGTTTGGCAGTGCGTCGCCCATATCGCCCTATTGAACAGGCCGTCCCTGCTCTCCCTACCGGAACCTAATCGAGTAGCTGGCCCGGCACTCACGCAAGATTTGGTTCTGGGTTGCAGAGATTATGGAGGTCAAAACAAGGTCTATGGCTGCGTTTACACAGGCAGCCCAATTCTGATATTTTCCACTAATTGGTATTTTGACCAATCAGATCAGCTCTTTTTCCAAGAATTGGGCAAACGATCATAATTGGACTGCCTGTGCAAACACAGCCTGTCATGCAGGACCTGACCAGGAAAAACTCTGATCTGAAAAACTGTCAAAGGCAAGAACATGATCTATACTACTATTTCCAAAAGTATTTTTCAATAAAGTTTAACATTATTAGCAGTATATTGCAGATGTATTCCCCATAATATACTCCAGCAAGCAAAAGCCTGGAAACGGAACAAGGTAAAATCAAATAAACTCCTGCCCTATACCCCACAAGGAAATAGGATGAAAGACTTGATGATGTGTATGTAGGCTATGTTTATTCAGCCTGCTCATTACTGCTATCAGATGTAAGCAGGCTATTTCTGGTGTGCATTTTCAGAGCCTTTGTGTGATGTGTTTCACCTATCAACACCTATGACCAGGTGCTCCTTTGCTCTTCCGTCTCAGTCTACCTCTGGCAGTATCAAATTCTCGGTAAGCAAATCTCCCATTTGCATGCCCTGCGATTTGTTTTCGTTTTATTCAGCTATAGTTTGAGTTTCTGCTTATGTAGGGATAAGGAGGTCAATAGGGAAAGGGGATACCTAGTCAGTTGCACAGCTGAATGCATCTTCCGCATTTAACCCAAGAGAGGTGCGGGGGGCTGCCTTAATCGACGTCCATGGCGCCCAGGGAACAGTTGTTGTTGGGGGTTAACTGCCTTGCTCAAGGGCAGAACGGCATATTTTCCCACCTTGCCGGCTCGGGAAATCGAACCAGCAACCTTTAGGTCATTGGCCCAACGCTCTTAACCACTAGGCTACCTGCTGCCCAATAGAGTGCATAGTCTCTCTCTCTCTCTCTCTCTCTCTCTCTTCTCTCTCTCTCTCTCTCTCTCTCTCTCTCCTCTCTCTCTCCTCTCTCTCTCTCTCCTCTCTCTCTCTCTCTCTCTCTCTCTCTCGTCTCTCTGTTTCTCTTGTCTCTGATCCTCTCTCGACAACACTTGTCCTCCCCTCGTCTACTATTGTTTATTAATCCTGCTTGCTGAAGGCTCTTCTCTTTAATCCCTGGTCTTCTTTCCCTGTAATGGTTTTTCTTTCTTTTATTAATCTTTTGTCTCCTTTTTCCCCTTACCCCGTTTCCCTTCATCTTTTTGATTTTGGCCTATCTGTCGCTAATCGGGTTTTCATTTGTAAGGTCCTCTCTGGCCTCTCTACATCCCTACATCCTTTTTGTGCGAATTCCAAATCTCTGAATAGGGGAAAAAAAGCAAAGTTGTTCTTGGAGGTCGGGAATACAAAATCCTCTAAATTTCCACAATACATCGGCTCCTCCTACCCCCCTTCACATTCCCGCGCACCCGCTGCGTCCCTTCCTCCCCCTTCCCTCTCTCTGTGCCGCCGGGGTTCCTTCTCCCAAACCAAAAACCCAAGTTTTCCTTGGTACATTTTGTATTGGATCCTTTGTAAGATGTTAAAAGGGATTTTTAAGTAGGCTTTTGTATACTTATATTTTGGGGAGAATTAGTAAAGAGTTTAACTGTTAGTTTTTTTTAATGCTACTCTTATTTTTATTTTAGAATGACTCCATTCAATCGTGGTGGATTTTTTGTTCTGGTTAAAAAAAAAAAAAAAAAAAAAAAAATTTTTTTTTTTTTTTTTTTTTTGGCGGGATAAGGGGGAGGGAAGGGTACGTGAGCCCCCGTTCGTTTGTTAAAAAAAAAACCTTGGGGCCCTTTTATAATAGCCTTTGTTGCAAAAACTAGACTTTTTGCAACTCCCAAAAGGAAGAATGGGGAAACATGGAAATACAATGAACTGAATCAACAGTTTTGTTTAGGTTTTTAC